CTGGAGATGAACACCTGCCTAACACTTCGGTGGGTCATCGAGCGATACAACGCAGGTTATTATGACATCGATGAACTCTGCTTCTTCTTGTTCCATAAGCTTAAAAAGTATGGCTTTTTGATATGGAGATCAAAGTGATGCATATGGAAGCTTATGAACATGAGAGAGAGTTCTGCGAATGGATGCTTTGCCGGGGTGACGAGATAGCAGCGAATCCAGACTTACCTCCGCTTACCGAAGAAAGGGCGTCTCTTCTCCGTTGTGCCTATGTGAACATGATTCTGTAAGGGGAGAAGGAGAAGAGAAAAGAACTGGCCGACATATATATCTCAACTCTTGCTGATGTGGAGATCGAACAAAATTTTGACCACATGACTCCCGAGCAAATTCAGAACACGGTCAAAGATTATATTGAAGAGAAGGCCAAGTCGGCGAACATGGAGGTTGAAATAATTAAAGTTGTTCCACCGGTGGAGGGCAAATCCGACGAAGTGCAAGATCCTCGCAACGAGTTCGTTCCGGTGTCGGATGCGGCCATTGATGCCGCGGCCAAAGCGAAAGAGATTGCCGTCCTGGAACGACTTCAGCAACAGTTGTCCACTGAAATAGAAGTCGGAGAGGGTAGCGGTGTTGGCCGAAGTGGAGAAGATAAAAATGATGCCGTTTGATGTTTGTTGGAAACTTTAGTTTTCACGTTTTAATTTTAATTTTCATTTTTAAGTAAGTAGTTGGGGTGTCAGAATGTTGACATCTTAGTAGGAAATATGTAATTTTGAAATTTTCCCAACTTTATAATAATGTTTGTATGATTTCATTTCTGTTTATTTTGTTGTGCGAAATTAGCAATTTTTTTTTTAGATCAAGTGTAATGAGCTCGGTGCACATATAGAACTTGCCTTCCAACTCGGACTTATTCATATTTTCTAACCGAGTTGTGGGCTTTTTTGGTAAAAATGAATTCTGAGTTCCACATTGATCTTTTTTAATGAATTCGGCTAATAGTGTAAGTCGGTATGCAAACGTACTAAGAATTTGCAGAACTTAACACATTTCGAGCCATGCATAAGACAAATTGGGTTCACCGAACTTCGTCAGAGTCCGATTATAAAGTGGCCCCAACGAGTTGTTCATCACGTATTCGGTTGTTAGCAGGACCCGTCAAATCATGTTTGCTGAAATGACGTGGACGAGCTTCAACCCCAACCAAACCATGCGTGGGATTTGGATGTATTACGGGGCATCAGCGAGACTGAGTGTCGCAATGTTTACATCGGTACAAAATATTGATAGAACCGAGTGTCAAAATATTTGACATCGGTGCCGAGCTGTTGCTCGGATTTCAAAAGTGAAAATCTTCAAACTTTCATTACATCAAAAGAGTAGTTGTATCCCCTCAAAATGGCAAAAGGAGGGTCTGTTCAAAAGGAAAGTCGACTGTTCGACTTCGGATTTGTTATTGGTAGAACTTCTTCAGGAATACAGCATTCCATGGGTATTCATGTGGGGTTCCATCAGGATGAGCGATCCGATATGCTCCACGCAGTAAGACCTCAATGACCTGAAAAGGTCCTTCCCACTTCGGCTTAAGTGGACTGGGGTCAGGCCCCATGATTCGTTTGAGGACTAGATCGCCAACTCGGAATGAACGGGGTTTGAATTTGGAATTGATATATCTCTCTCTTCTCTGTTTGTAAGCGGCATTTTTAAGTTCTGCGCGGGTACGATGTTCTTCAAGCAGGTCCAAATTGGCTTTCATGTTGTCCGAGTTGGACTCTTCGGTGAAATGCTCAATCCAGTAGGCCGGTGCACCGAGTTCGACTGGGACCGCGGCTTCTGAACCGTAAGTTAGTTAAAATGGAGTTTCGCCTGTGGAAGTCCTTGTAGTAGTTCGATATGCCCATAAGAATTGCGGTAACTCTTCAGGCCAGGCCCTTTTGGCAGCATCAAGTCGGACTTTGAGACCATTCTTTATGAGCTTATTAACAGCTTTAACTTGGCCATTTGATTGGGGATGGTAGGGTGAAGAGAAGAAGTGTTTGATGTTATATTCTTCGCAAAGAGCTTCAAGTCGCTTGCCTTCGAATTGTCGACCATTGTCGGTGACAATGGAGTTCGGTATTCCGAAGCGACAAATGATGGACTTCTATATGAAATAGACAACTTTATGTTCGGTCATCGTGGTTAATGGTTCGGCTTCAGCCCATTTGGTGAAGTAATCAACCGCGACTATGGCAAATCGGACTCCGCCTTTTCCGGTCGGTAGAGGACCGATGAGGTCGATTCCTCATTTAGCGAATGGCCATGGACTGTAGACTGATTTGAGCTCTTCGGGGAATTGATGAACGTTAGGCGCAAACAGTTGGCACTTTGGACTTTTGCGGACCCATGTGGCGGCATCGGTTTTTTAAGGTAGGCCAATAGTATCATTGTCGCAAAATCTTGTAGGAAAAGGCTTGTGCACCGGGGTGACTTCCACAAATTCCTTCGTGCACTTCTTCAAGAACATATCGCAATTCGGATTCAGTCAAACATTATAGAAGTGGGACCGAATATCCTCTTTTGAATAAGGTTCCGTTGTCTAGAGTATATCGAGCTGCTCGAATCCGAAGCGCCCGAGCTTCTTTAGGGTCCAGAGGTAAGGCCCGAGTTTCTAAGTATTGAATAATAGGATCCATCCAAGTCGGAGGTTTTGGTGATGTTGCCGGATTGATGGTTACAACTTCGGGAAGAAAGGTCGACGGTTGTTCTTGCTGGCCAATCGGGACATACTCCATACTCTTAATCCCGGTACTCGAGGCTAGTCAGGACAATGCATCTGCTTGTACATTAAGAGTTCGAGGAATGTGTTCGACGTCGACGGAGAATTTTGACAACTTCTGTTTCGCCAAGGATAGATATTGTGACAGCCGAGGTTCTTTGACTTCATACGCACCATTGATTTGATTGACTAAGAGTTATGAGTCTGAGAAAACTTTAAGGTGCTTCACGTTCATGGCTTCAGCTAAATTCAGTCCAAATAGCAAAGCTTCATATTCGGCCTCGTTATTAGTTGCGGGAAACAGAAATTTAACCGAATGACAGAATAATTGGTTTTCCAGGTTGGCTAAAACTATCCCTGCACCTGCTCGGTTTGCTGTGGAGGATCCATCGATATAGAGGACCCACGGTTGATCGTTGTTATACAGCCCCACCGCCGGCGTGAATTCGGCAATGAAGTCGGACAGGACTTGTGCTTTGATTGTTGTCCTCGGTTGATAGTGGATGTCGAACTGTCCGAGTTCGACGGCCCATTTTATCATTCTCCCCGAGGTGTCAGGTCGGTGTAGGACCTGTCGTAGTGGATACGAAGTGCGAACAGTTACAGAATGCTCTTGAAAATAAGGTCGCAGTTTTCTAGCGGGAGTGACAAGGTCAAATGCTAGTTTTTCCATAGGAGGATAGCGAAGTTCGACATCATGAAGGGCTTTGCTGACATAATAAATAGGCGATTGGAGCATTCTCTCTTCGCGTATTAAGACGGCACTGATTGATGTATCGTTAACTCCGAGGTACAAGAACAGCATTTCCTCTGGGCTTGGCTTCTGTAACGTCGGAGGGGATGAGAGAGTTTCTTTAATGCTGATGAGTGCTTTCTGACATTCTTCAGTCCATTCAAAACGTTTTCCTTTTTTGATGGCTTCGAAAAAAGGGTTGCAACGATCTGTAGACTTGGAAATAAACCGACTAAGTGCGGCAAGTCGGCCAGTTAGGGTCTGAACACCCTTGACCGAGGTCGGGGGACTTAAATCTTGAATTGCTTTGATCTTAGCCGGATTGGCCTCAATTCCCCGTTGACTGACCATGTAACCGAGGAATTTCCCAAACTCGACTCCGAAGGTGCATTTTTTTGGATTTAAGACCATGGAATAAGACCGAAGAATGTTGAACATTTCCTAAAGATGTGTGACATGGTCGGAGGCGTTCACCGACTTGACAAGCATATCTTCTACGTAGACTTCCATGGTATGACCTATCAAATCGGCAAACATCTTGTTGACGCGACGCTGATAAGTGGCTCCGGCGTTTTTTAATCCGAAGGGCATCATAGTATAGCAGTATAAGCCTCGGGCAGAATAGAACGAGGTGTGCTCCGAGTCCTCGGGATCCATGGGAATTTGATTATAACCGGAGTAAGCATCCATAAACCTCATTAACTCATGTCCCGAGGTGGCGTCTACCATCTAATCAATATGAGAAAGTGGATAGCTGTCTTTTGGGCACGCCTTATTCAAATCAGAGAAGTCTATGCACAGACGCCATAAGCTGTTGCTTTTCTTTACTAGAACAGGAGTAGATACCCAAGTCGGGTATTTGGCTTCTCTGATGAACTTGTTGTCTATGAGCTTTTTGACTTCCTCTTCTAGAGCCTTCTGACGATCTGGTCCCAATTTTCGACGTTTCTAGACAACTGGTTTAACAGTTCGGTCGAGATTCAGCTTGTGGCTAGCAACACCGGGGTCGATTTCCTTCATATCCTCGTGTTTCCAGGCGAAGACGTCAGAATTATTCTTGAGAAATGCCACGAGTTCTGATCGAAGGGGTTCTTGAAGGTGGCTCCCGATGCGTAGTGATTTTTGACATGTTGGTTCGTCAATATAGATCAACTCAACTTTTTTCTCCGGGTTCGGCTCGATCACTTTGATTTTCTCTTTGAATTGAGTCCTTGGGTCCAATTCATCTTCTTCTGGGATTGGTTATTTTCCGGGTCGTCTACCTCAGTCTTCAGATAAAGGATCTGAGGTGGCGGGGACAACGACTTCATGGCTCGGTTCTTCAGAATTTATATTGTCCGAAGTGATTGATGGTGAGGGATTTTCTTCGTTGACCGAAGTGGTGGAATGGACTCCGGTGGATGGTATGAAAGTGATAAGTTCTCGAGCTTCTCTTTGATCTCCGTAATGTGTTCCTTCACCACGTGTCGTCGGGAATTTAAGTGCATAATGAAAAATAGAAACCGCAACTCGGAGTTTGTACAGAGTAGTTCTTCCGATGATTGCGTTATATTTATTGTTGATGTCGAGAACTGTAAAAGTTTCCATAACAAGCTTGGTTACATGTTCAGGCGTGCCAAATCTGACAGGCAGGGTGATTTCGCCGATGGGCTTCGAGATGCTTCCGTTAAACCCTTGTATTTGATCATTACAAGGTCGGATATCCGTTGGGTCGAGACCCATTTTGTCAAAGGCTTTTAGCATCAAAATGCTTGAGTAGGCCCCAGTATCGACCATGACACGGTGAACCGGGATCCCACATATTGGAACGGTGATGACGAGCGCGTCGGAATGAGGGTGTGCAAAATGATTTGCATCTTCCATGTTTAAAGTAATGGGGCCATTCCGGGCATTGAGAACGTCTCTCAGATCGGTGGTAAAAACTTGTTTGCCGGAGTTGTAAGCTTGTCGAGCGTAGGCTTTGACTTGGCGACGGGATGAGGTACCTCGGGAATTATTGGTATTCACTCGATAGACGGTGATTTGCATCGGGCTGGGAGATCGGTTTCTCTTAAGTCCTCGAGAGGTCCCAGTTGAGTCAATATCGAGTATTTCCAAGGTGAACATAAAGACTTCTTTTTCTCCTTGTCGGATTCGTTTTGGCGCAACACATCGGTCTTCATCCTCATCTTCATCATAGGGTTCAATTTGACGTCCGGGTCTACGTTTCTGGGTATCAGAGTTGCGATAGAACTTCCTAAGTTGCGGATGAACGATTAAACGCAATAGGGCAGTTAAAAGACTTAGGCATTCATCAGTGTCGTGCCCCGTGAATTATGATAGTCACAATATCGAGATTTATCCAACTTTTCCTCAGGCATCCGAAGTGGTTTGGGATCGGGCAGAATGCCCTTTCCTTTAATCTCTTCATAAATGGTGGCAGCCCCAGCCGAATACACGGTTTGGTAACCGGATTTTATGTCGGTAGCGTACTGTTTCTGAGCTGCCCTGATTTCGGGGTCGTTAGCGTCTCCTCGGGGGTAACCTTGAAATTGAGCCTTATTTTGCTTATCAAAGGACTTATTTTTCTTCCTATCATCTGTTCCCGACTTAGATGACTTCGGATTGAAATTAAAATCGGGGACCGACATTGCTTCCTCGGCAATGATATGTTGCTGAACACGGGCAAGGAATTCCTGGAAGGTGTTTGGCTTGTTCTGACATAATGTCCATCGAAAAATAGAGTTCGGTTTTAGTCTCGTGATAGCCATAACCAACAAGGTTTCAGGATGACATGGCTCCATATTTTGAACTCGGTCATTGAATCGAGCAATATAATCCTTGACACTTTCATCATCTTTTTGAGTTACATTTGCAAGAGATTCTTTCGGAACCAAACAAACTTGGGCCCCAATGAAATGAGATCGGAAGGCCGACCTCAGCTGTTGCCACTTCCAGATTGAATGAGGAGGCAAAGAGTGGTACCATTTCTGAGCTCGAGGTCCCAGAGTGAGGGAAAACATGCGACACCGAAGTGCGTCCGAGGCCCCGTGAAGATCCATCCATGATGTGTAATGTCCGAGGTGCGAATCTGGATCAGACGTTCCATCATATAGTCCGATTTCGGGGACTTTGACTTTTTCTGGTACAGGCTCCGAGGTAAGCTCAGGTGTTAAAGGGGAATCAGCTTCTAAGTATACTTGTGCCGAGGTGGAGGTTCGTCGTGGAGGATCTTCCTGAGCCCTCTGTCGACTTTCCAACTCGGCGATTCTTCGCCGTAACACTTCTAATTCCGTAGATTCTTGTCGAGCTAACCGATTTCTTTCAATTTGCTGACGGAGGTCTATTCGAGCCGGATGGGAATGAGCCTGAGGCCGCGCATGTGGTGGAGAATGTCGTGGTTGTCCCGATTGACTTTCAGCGGTTTCTTCATGAGGGATCACCGGAGGAGTACGCGCTGTCTCGGCATGTCGCCCTATACGATCTGGGTGCGGAAGTGATGTCCGACTACGAGGCTGAGACGTGGCGTGAGAAGTGGTTCCACCGCCGTCTCGTCGGATAGATGGATTTCTTGGGGGTACAGGGGTAGTAGGGATGATAGATTGTCCCGGCGCCGTCGTTGACATCCTGGGAGCAGTTTGAGCCATCAAGGCGGCAAATCCACGCGCGAACTCCAGATTTTGAAATAAAGTGGTGTAATCAGGCAGGTTGGGTATAGCCGCAGGACGCCTAGCAGAGTGATTGTTGCGACTGTGCCCTTCACGCGACGTATGTCCATGGTGATCTGAATGAGACATATTTGCAGTATTTGTTGTGGCTACAGAGACAAAGATTGAAGATTAACCTCAAATAACTTATGAGACCCCTTCCTCTGGCGCCAAAATGTTGTTATGTGATTGTTAACAACGATTTGAAAGTAAGTTTAATTGATTGTTATTAATGGTTTGAACGTAAGACATGCATTAAAAACTCAACAATGGCCCCGATTCGAGGTGAATCGAGGTGGAAAGCTTCTGTGAGCTGTTTCATGTTTCATGTGTCAAATATTTGATTCGGGATCCCCCGTACAAGTATCAGGAGTTTGCTATATATAGTAACTTTTTTGGGACACATACCGGGATTTGTGCGATGCCTTTTTAGTAAAGCTACTTTTTGGTGGGCGGCATTGTTAGCGGGTCCCACTTGAATGATAAAAGATCTCGTGGTTCGTGAAAAGGGCGTGTAGGCGCCTTGTCATCGGTTTAGGAGGTGGTGACCTCGGTTCGTGTTGTCTTCGATTTGCAGAGACTTTGGTTTGGGATGACTTCGGCGTGAGAGTCACCTTGGTTTTCTATGGTTCGGTCAGTTCGGCATGTGAACCAGAATAATTGTTGATCACATCGGTGTTGGTAATAATCCGTCTAAAACATGGTTTGAGGCTAATAACTTTGAATTACCGAATCGGATGATAACAAGAATTAAGAATACATGCTAACCATTAGATCGAATGATTTAACGGATTAAAAAAAGTCAAAATTATACTTTCATTAAGGTTATTAGGGTAAATTACACACAACAAACAAAGAGGTAGGACCCACTCCTAATTAACTAACCTGTCGACAAACCAACACCTACAGGCTACAGCTAACTCTATCCCACCCCACACGCCACCACCCCACCTACCATCCCCACGACCTGTACTCTCTCACACAGAAAAAACACACACACATCTTCTTTATACATAGGCTGGTCCCCGCCACCTGCCGCCGGTCTCCGCCTCCCGCTACCGCCAGCGCATTCCTCCACCTTAGAGCGCACGGTCGTCTGGTTTCGTTGTGCTGCACGGGCTAGGTCGATTTCCTCGGGGTCCGTCGGAAAATAGCCGGGAAATGAAGCACACGAACTCGCCGGAGTAAAAATCTCGGTTCCAATTCTCGGCCTTCTGGCGGAATAATTTCAATAGCTCGGTCTCGATCGTGAAGACAGGCGGCGAGCTCGACCGGATCCCTTGAAAATCGAGCGTGCGACGGCACAATTTTCTAAAAATCGAGCGTGAAGACAGGTTGTCAATTGCACGATGTTTTCAGAAATTCGGTCGGAGTATTAGACTTAGATCCGTCGTCGCTAGTCGAAGAACATCCTCTTCGTGGGGAGTGGACGACCCGACGACCGGAGATCCGCCGGCAAGATGCGAGATTGAATTTGGATTGATGTCTAATTTTTGAGAATTAGATATTTCTTAGGGTCTTAATTGAAATTTCAAAAAGTTTGATTAAATGTCAATTTAGTACATGGGCAAAATTTGTAATTAAGAAAACTTTATAAAAAGTATGATTGTTTATATATCTTTTTATACATATAAATTAAAATAATAAAACAACAAATATTAAATAAAATAATATAAAATACTAAAATCATATACAAATAATACAAAATAATAAATAAAAATATTAAATTGATAAATAAATTTTTATGTTATAAATAATAAATTATTTCGTTTGTTTAGGTTAATTGGGTTAACCAATTAAATAAATCGATTATTAAATAAAAATAATATAAGACATCAAAATGATTAATAAGACATCAAAATGATTATATAATAAAAATAATAAATTAAATGATTTTCTAATTATTTTAGCTTCATGTAAAATTATATCTATTAAAATTAGTTTTCGAATATAATTGGAAATATATAAATTAGTGCACTTTATACAACGAAATATTGCACTTCATATAACATGAGTCGCACTTTATAAAACAATTGAAAAGTATAAATTAGTGCATTTTATACAGCGAAATGTTGCACTTTATACAACAACGAGTCGTACTTTATAAAACATGTTGCACTTTATCATTAGACTCACCAATTAATGTCAATATCTCCCGCCAAAATATTACGCAATATAAATATAAAAAAAGGGAACGACATGATACTTCATATCCACAAAAATCACAATCATGTTAACGTAACAGAATTTAAGTATTACAATTTATATATCAATATATTGCACTTTATACAGCAACACGGTGCACCTTGTAACACAACACATTACACATACCATAATTACAGTAATTATAATTATCGATCAAATAATATTAATTGGTTAATGACGAATTTATTTAAAAAAAAAAATAGTCGAACATGTCAAACTATATTGAAAACATATTACCGGTTTATTTATATATTTTTTATTATAAATGATAATATTGTTTTATTTATATTTTTTATGTATTGCGAGTGCACATTAGGGTTATACGGATTGCACATAAATGTCTATTAGATTGCACAAAATCGAACAATATCTATCGAACATAAATTCGATACGATTTTTTATATTTCGGTCCTATTATTATTGTTATTATTATTATTATTATTATTGTTATTATTATTATTATTTTACATATCGAAAATTTCAGTACGATGACATTTTTTTATTTATTTAAATAATCGAAATATATTAGAAAGTTAATATTTTGTATATATTTTGTACAACAACGACCACGATTAACAAAGACTAATTTTATACTTTTAATAATTATCTATTTTTACTTTTAATTAAAAAAAAACTGACTACACTAATATAAATATACATAATGAGTTAATTCAGTTATTTTGATTAAATCGAACAATCGAGCGAATAAATTGATCATTTATGTTCGGTTTTATTTTGGACTGTGATAAAAATACAATCGATTCAATTAATGTCTCACAACGTGCACATTTACGAACAAATACGTGCACATTATTGTAATGCAAATAGCACATCAATGTCTCACAAGTTGCACATTACATTCAAAACTGACTGAAATAATATTTTTTATTCAAAACTCATATTTAGTTCAAATATAATTTTCAAATTTTAAAAGTTCGATTATTTGTGTTTGGCTTTAGGTTTTAAAAATTATTTATCACTATTTTTAAATTTATTAAATTATTAATAATTTAGTACAATATTTATGTCACTATTAATTTAATTATATGTTATAAATAAAATTTAAAAGAATACAAAATAGTCCCTAACATTAACCTAATTTTCATAAACTAACCCATAAATCAATACACACCCAAATCATCCCAAAATTACAGTTCACATTCGCAGCCAAATCACTCTTTCACCCAATTCATACTCCCAGCAAAAATCACTTCACCGAATTCACTCACTATATCAGCAATTAAATAAAAATTCACACGAAAAAAAAAAAGAAAAAATCACACAACCAAATTCATTGACAAAACTCAACAATTAAATCGAATTTCACCAATATGAAAATTTCGACGAAACTCACACAAATCACGCTTCAATTCATCAGCCCCACAAGCATTTCCGCCCGCCTCCACACATCTCCCGTTCAGGTCGTCATCCCTCTACTATTCTCGATTCGTTCTCGTCCGCAACACCCAGATTTATCGTCTCCCTCGCCGTCAGTACAATCGGGACGTACGATTTGGCGGGCTGAACGAGATTGAGACAAGGGCAGGTGACGGTGGTGGCGGTGCTGGGATGGCTGACGGCGACGGCGACTTCGGGCAGCGAGATTGGGCTAATGGCAGTGGCCGGTGGTTTGTGGTGGGTCGACTCCGACCGTGTCCGATAATAGGGGAGGTGGAGGGCGCTGATGGGGATGGCCAACGACACTTGCCGTGATGGTAGCGGCGGCGGGGCGGCGGCGGCGGCGGTAACCAGTGATTTGGAGCTGATCTTCGGTCGTGCCCGCTGGAGTGTGTGTGTGTGTGTGAAATTGTAGAGATATGATAGATGTGAATACAAATAAAGTGTGGGTCTGTGGTATATGTATAATGACCAACTTACCTTTAATTATTGGTCAAATATAAAAATTTGACCACAATCTATATATATAATTGCTAGCTAATAAGCATTTAATAAAACCTATTAAATTATAACTATGTGGCAATATAAATTTTTCTCTCAAAAAACCGTTACTTTTTATTTATTTAATCTCACATTTAGTTATTAGATAATCAACACACTAATCACTTCAAAATTACAAAAATTATTTTCAATTTTGATTTACTTACAGCTGACCATATAATGTGTTGACTATTTAACGTGAGTAGATGTTATTGTTGTATTACATTTAAATTAACTTCTTTTAGAAATTAAAAAACATATGTGAAATTCCTAAATAAATAATAAATAATTCACAAAGAAAGATACATACCAAAATATACATTACATCCAATATGATATGTAATTTAAAAAAATAAATATTTCAACTCCTTTTATTATAAATTTGGCAAAAATCATTGATTATTATATGCATACAAATAACTCACAATACCTTATTTATATATATGTGCAAATGCACAGGTCGAATGCTAGTAGTTTAAATAATTATCAAATTCCCATTAATGATTGACCATTATTTATGAAAGTTTGACTTCATCATGACCATTGACTTGATGGATCCAATGGTGTAAATTTATTTTTATTTCTTTGACTATATATCATTCTCATATGATTCATTCTCTCTCTCTCTCTCTCTCTCTCTCTCTCTATATATATATATATATATAATAGATCAATTATATTATTCTAGAAGATGTAGTATATTCTTCTCCAAGCTCTATTAATAATAGCATTGTTCAAAAGAGGATAAAAAGGAGCACTTGTCTGTCGACAAAATGTGCCACAACGTCCAGAAGAATGCAAGTTATGCAATTAAAAATTTGTTCTTCCGCAAGATTCATGCATTGTATAACAATCTTCCATGCACTATACACCAAATCTGCAAAAATAAATGACAGAAGCAAAGCTCGGAAGGACATTTTTCTTGTTATTACAAGGCTTCCATATCTTGTCAACAAGCATCTCAACATTGGTCATCCTTGTAATGGAGCAACCACCAAAAGATGATCATGATAAGTTTCCTTCTCCCATCCATCTTGATACCGCAGCTCAAAAGTATCGATAATTCGTACAACAAAGTCAAGAAAAGGGAAATAATATTTTGTACAGCCAGCTCATGGCCAGATAACCATATGCTACATACTTGTGGGATACGGGATTTCAATATTTTAGCACGCTATCAAAATGGTATGTAAAAGAAGTAAACCAAAGCTTTAATTAAGCTCTATCTCCATCAAGATGAACAATATATTTGAGAAGGTTTGGATTCAAATGAAAAGCACACCATTACCTACATATGTGCCAAAAAGTTGCCTCACTGAGCAAGGCGGCTAGTAAGTAGTGTGGTAAGGCCAGTTTAATATCAGACAAACTTTGTGAAATGAGGTTGGCCTGAAGATATACAGTTAGATAAAACTGTGTTTTGTCCGGACACACAAAATACTCGAGATAGGAAGGCTTCCCACGTTGAAGCCAAGAAGAGAAGTAATTTCAGCATGTGTAGCATCATGACCTCCATCAAAGAAAATATGAGTTGTTATTTCTTTTTCAATTTGAAATGGATTGAGATTGCCCCTTATGTTTGAGCAACAGCATCATTATAGGTAGCCTACTCTTGCACATTCAAAAGCTGCCCATAAACAGGCCCTACATATACAAATTTGTTCCAAAAAATCAAGACAACTAAGCACATACTTGCCATCCTCATCTATAAGCAAGCAATCTCCAGTTTAACCGTCATAAAAATTTACATCATAATTCGATAAAGAAAAATTTGCATAAGATATAACAAAATTACAATAAAAATATCAGCATAGTTTTCTTCGAAATTAGTGAACCTCAAGGCAATTCAAGACATGTTATATCAAACAATTACAGATCCACAACAATACAAGTCTGGCAAAAAAAAAAAGTAAGTGATCGAATCTAGCTAATTAATGAGTAAAACTAGCTCTAAAAGCAAAGAAGAACAACAGAAGATGAAACCATGAAACCATAAATGAAGATTAAGAAGCCAAAATGGAAAGCCCAATTCCTCTTGAACTTACCGAAATAGCTCTCTGGCGGCTCCTGATAATGAATCTCGAGCTCCTCCCCAATCTCATCGGCGCTGCCGCCGCTGCTCAGCCTCATCTTAAGCTGCCTCAGCCGCTCGGTGGCGAGGCCAAGGGTCAGCTTGTGGCACCGCCGCTGGTATTTGAAGCCGTTGATGCACCGCAGAGTTTGGGCCACCGACACGTAGAAAATGAGGTGGGCCAGCGAGAGCAGTCCAATAGGCACCCAGCAGTGGCGGCATTGGAGCCGCGGAGACTGGGCCTGGGCCAAGAAAACCAGGCTCAAGAAGATGAAGAAGAGATGGAAGAGCTTCCACAGCTCCTTTTTCTGCAAGTCCACAGCTCGTTTTTTCTCTAGGGTTTTCTCAAAATGGAGCTGGATTATGGTGTTTAGAGCTTGGAGGGCCGTCTCTTTAGTAATCATACCGTGGTGGTGGTGATGGTGGTGGGAGGCGGTGACGGAGGTGGTTCCGTGATGCTCATACTCCGCCATTGGAGTGTGGCTATGTGTGTGTGTTTTCTTTTTGTCCTGTACAAGTGAACAGTTGGGAGAAGATGGGTTATGGGGGCGTGGGGTTGGGCTTGGGGGTATGTGTGAGCAAAACCGTGTGAAAACCGGAAAACGGAACCGATGTATTCGGTGCGATTCATCGTTTTTTCAAAGGTTCGGTTTTCGATGCAGTTAAAATTTTAAAAAACTGCACAAATATCGATGCGGCTAAGTTTTTGGTCCGATTGTGCGGTTTTAACATAACCGTACCAAAAACATGTTTGTATTGCATATATACATGCCCGTTTTTTGACATGCCCGTTTTTTGCCTTTAGTTTGGGATGACTAACATTAACAATAAATAAGTAGGTTAATAAATAAGGATACAAAGTTTTTCTCTCCTGTGAGAGGCGATTTTCTCTCCTGTGAGAGGCGATTCCTTTGGTGAAGGTCCTCATTCCCTTGTTGAGGGCTTCTCTTCTTCTCCCTCTGCTTCTTACTCTTTTGTTTTTTTCCCCTTTCTTCTTCTCTTCTCTGTTGTTTTTTTCGGCGATTAGGGTTCCTCAGAATCCCCTAGCTATGTCTCAGGATAAGGAGGCAACATTGGGAATTGAGGAGGAAATGTCCCAACGTCTGAAAAAGTTCTCTCTAGCTGGTACAGAAAATGATATTATTGACATTGCCAATGACGACATCCAAACAAGTGCTGAGGAATGCAGTCGGAGCTTGGTGGGAAAAATCGTAGGGAATAGACGTGCTTCTTTGTTTGGCATCAAAAGGGCGCTCCTAGCTATCTGGCGTATCCAGCTGGGATTGGAGGTTAGGGAACTTAGCCCTAATTTCTTCCAGTTTATCTTTGAAAATCGAGGAGATATGGCTAGAGTCAAACTAGGCACTAACTGGATCTTCGAAAACCAATATCTGATCCTGCAAGATTGGAGGAAAGGAATTAAGGCAACGGACAACTGTTTTAATGTTCTGGACCTCTGGGTTCAAGTGTATAATGTTCCATTGGACTGGCTTAGCATGGAAGTGGGGCTCAAGATTGGGAAAGTGTTCCATGGTGTTAAAAATTCTGCAGTCACTTCAACCTATGGAGCGGGCAATAGAATACTCAGACTTCTGGTAGCAGTTGACATCTCCAAAGCTCTCCCACGATGTGCTTCTATCAGACTGGGAGATGAACTCACCACGGTCAGCTTCAAATACGAAAGGCTTGTCAATCTCTGTTATTACTGTGGAGAAATTGGGCACCTAGATAGGGATTGCAGGAAGCAAATGGAGGACATAGCGAGTGGCAATGTAAGGAATGGCCAATAACGGGGACTGGCTTAGAGCAGGGGAGGCCAGAGTTAACAACTCTGCTTGGACTCATAGCAGATCACCGGAGAAAGACTCAGACCACTCAACCAAAACTCCCCATCGCTTCAACCAGGAGGCAGAAGATGCTGACACTCACCCTGATAAAGTGGGTCTTCTCACTAACAACCCTGACAACTTGGCCCCAATTCAGGCCCAGATGAAGAAGAACACTAGCTTGGTTGAGTCAAGCTCCTCTAGGCAAGAAAATCAGAAATCCACTGCTGCAGCAACAGTTAAAGAGCCACCTCTTAGCAAGCAGGGAAAGGAAATCATACAATACTCTGCAAATAGTCATGCTCTAATGGAGGAGGAGAGGATTTCTCCAGAACCCATCTATTCTCATGAATCTCAACTGGAAATAACCATCATACCTGAGGCTCCTATGGAAGTTAGCACCACTAAACACAAAACCTGGAGAAGAGCTGGGAAAAAAGAAGGCAGGCTACAGAGCAGTACTTCTGAAGCAAACACAGCTGCATAAGGGGTTAAGAGAGGGAGGCAAGGAGGAACCACTATGGTAACAGTAGATGAAGAAGAAGTAACTGGAGAAGCGAGTGCAAAAAAAAATGAAACAAACCCCATCTCAGGTGGAGAAGGCCAGCCTCAAGTGGCCCCAAAGTGATCAATGAGGGCTCTGGTGTGGAATTGTAGAGGCCTGGGTGGGGCCTCTACAGTTTCTCAGTTGAGGGAATCTATCAGATCCCATCACCCGCATTTTATTTTTATGTCAGAAACCAAAAACAACAAATTTTTTACATCCACTGTCTGCAAAAAGCTTGGGTTTGCCAGTAGATTCCAGCTGGTAGAACCTATTGGCCTCAGAGGAGGACTTCTGTTTGCTTGGAACCCACAGATTGAAATCTTGCAGATTAAATGCTCCTCTTACTGCATAGAGGTTGAATTCACTACCATTGGGGAAGAGCTTCCCAGATGGATAATTTTTGTCTACATGAACACAGATAAGAGAACTAGAGAGCTTCAATGGGAGGACTTGGAGGAGAAACAAAATCAGTGGGGTACAAGATGGTGCACTATTGGAGATTGGAATGATCTTGCTAAAGCTGAAGATAAGAAAGGAGGAAGGAAGAGATCAGCCACCAGCTTGTTGGGTTTCCAATCCTTTATATCTCAAATGGGAATGATGGAAGTCATGACTAAAGGCTACTCCTATACTTGGGGGAACAACAGAGAAGGAGAAGGGTTTGTGGAGGAAGCACTAGATAAAGCATATGCATCCCTTGATTGGCTCAGAGACTTTCCCCAAACTCATACTACCTCTTTCTTCAAGAGCTCCTCTGATCATCACCTCCTCTTACTTGAGGATGAACCTCCCAGAGCTGCTTTCAAGAAAAGGTTCCATTTCGATAAGAGATGGATCAAACGAGAAGGGTTGGAATAAACAGTTCAGAAAGCATGGGACACTCCTCTGGAAGGCACCTCTCTGTTCATCCTTATAGAAAAAATTAAAACAACAAGAATTGCCCTCCTTCAATGGAGCAGACACTTCAAAGCTCAATACATTTCAGAAGTGAAGGGCTTGTCTCTTAGACTCAAAGAAATGAGGGAATCTGGGGGAAATAGAGATTGGGATGAATGGGACATACTGCAGAGAGAGATGGATGAGGCCAACATGTCAGAGGAACTCTTTTGGCAGCAAAAGGCCAGAACCCAGTGGTTGAAGGAAGGTGATCAGAATACCCAATTTTTCCATGCTTGGGTGATGCAAAGAAGGGGACTTAATGCCATTAGCAGGCTGATTACTGACAACAACAGGATATGTGAGACTCATGAAGACCTACAGAACCATATTGAAAGCTTCTACTCGAATTTATTCACATCAGAGGGGTCTGTGGGAGGTGACTCCATTCTCCAGGATGTTAATCCAACTATTACAGACTCTATCAATGCAGATCTTCTCTCCCCTGTAGATGAACCTGAAATCAAACATGCCCTATTCTCAATGAGTCCTAACAAATCTCCAGGCACTGATGGTATGCCAGCCCTCTTTTTCCAACATTTTTGGCCACTAGTGGGAAAGGACTTATGTGCAGCTGTTTGGAGATTCTTTAAATCTGGCAGGCTGTTGAATTATTGGAACCATACTCTCCTAACCTTAGTTCCTAAAGTTGCTAATGCTGATCAGCTCAATCAATTTAGACCCATTAGTCTCTGTGCTGTGGCCTACAAGATCATCTCAAAAATTCTTGCTGAGAGACTAAGGAGCTGCCTCAACACTTGCATCAATGATGCTCAATCTGCTTTCTTACCTGGGAGACAACTCACTGACAATGTGGTAATAACAAATGAAGGGATCCACTTCCTGAACAAACACCACTCTGGTAAGCACTCCTTTATGGCCTTAAAGCTTGATATGATGAAGGCATTTGATAGAATCGAGTGGCAATGCATTAAGAGAACCATGCTCAGAATGGGTTTTTCTCAACAGTTTGTGAATTGGATACTTGAATGCATCTCTTCTGTGTCCTTCTCTGTTATCCTCAATGGTAGTACCTGTGGCCACATCAATGCTCAGAGAGGAATAAGGCAAGGGGACCCCCTGTCCCCCTACCTTTTCATCATTGTCTCCCAAGTCCTTTCTGCTATGATCACTGCTGCTGTTGATAGAGGTGTCTATAGAGGGCTGACTTTGGCCAGAAATGCACCTGTTCTTACTCACTTACTATTTGCGGATGACTCAATCTTGTTTTGCAAAGCTGATGACTACCAAGCTAATACTGTGAAGTCTATCCTTGACAACTATCAGAAATTCTCTAGTCAGAGAGTTAATACTGCCAAGTCCTCTATCTTCTTTAGTAAGAATACTAATTCTCGGATCTGGGGTGAACCGGTGGAAAATCGCCCAGATCTGGAATGAACCGATGAGAATGAGCTCAGATCTGTCTTGATGGTCTCCAAATTGCTATCGAACCGCGAGAACACCTGCAAGAACTCAACGCCGGAGGGATTTCCGGCGTAGAGCCTCCGACGCTCAAGTCAGTATGTGAAAAGAGTGAAAAGAGCTGCTCTGAGATATAAGTTAAAATAACAATTAGGTTGAAGAATTTTTTGGGTTAACAAATGATATTTAACTTATAGTATGTCAATTAAATTGTCTATGAATCCCTTATCTTGAAAATCAAAGAGTATGTTTGCATATAAAAAAAATTGAAAAGATTTCCAACAATTTAACTCAACCATTTTTTTTTTAACTCTCATCAATATTATTAATAAGATTAAATCAATCAATCATTCATACACACCACATCAACCTTAATTCTCTATTCATCTACTCATATTATTTTAACTGACCATCACTTCAAATCATATCTCTCTTACTTTTACATCAAATCAATTTTAATTATTTTATTTTAAATGTTATTTTAATATACACATCAACAACTAACCATACCATATTTTTTTAAAATTAACCAAATTAAACCAAAAAATCCAACAACACCAAAAAATTTTATATCCAAACATGCTCGAAGTCCTCACAGTTCTCTTATTTTACTTACCTTGATGAAAGAAAATGACAGGATGCGTTAACGCTCTAGTAATTGTAGGTCTCCTAGTCGTCTTTGGTTCCAGTTGTTCCACTAGTACTAGTGACATCGGATGCCTCTTCTTCGTCATCATCTTTG